CCTTGCTTAAATAAATAGAATATACATAAACTTGGAGAATTATTCTTTTAATCTTAATTATATTGCAATTAAATACAGAAAAACAGATCAGTTTTTCATTCTCATTTTTTAAAAAATTAGTTTTCAAAAGTAACATTTAAAAACTTAAACAATATATATTTGTTTTTCCTCCAAATTTATTTGAAAAATTTCCAACCTACCAAACAGTTGAAAAAATAATACCATGAACAATTATTTACCCTTCATGTTGATTCACCAATTGACGAGTTGATAATATTTTGCCATATTTGTGCTCTTCTCCTCCTTCTTCTTTCCTGCCTTCTCCTCCTCCATCTCTATTTCTGTGCTGTGTGCTTTAGAGTGTAGCCCAGATGCCTTATAGAATGTCTCACCGTCTAGAATTGTCTGACTGCTTCCTCATGATTAAATTTAGGTTGAAAATTTTTGGTAAGAATACTATAGAGGTGGCAAGTGTTCTTACCACTGTATCACATCTGGAGGCACACAATGGCAGTTTGTACCCTTATTGGTGACACAAAGTTTGATTACTTGGTAAAGAAGGTGTACTTCAGATTTTTTCTCTTTTTATAGAGAAGTTGCTCTATTTCCCCTTCATAATTCCTAAGTAACCTGTGGCTAATACTTTTAAATCTTGTGCATATCCTGTTCATCACTAACCTTTCACTTTGTGGCTTTAGCATTTACCCATGAGCTATGCATAAATCAATTACTCATTGGTGGTTTTAAACTGGTAGCTTTCTAATTCAATCATTCTTTCAATAATTATTTGCTGCCATTATTCTGCAAAGAGCTTTTACTCCCCACCACCACTGCCTCAACTGTCCTCTAAAAGTTTTTAACAGTAATATCAATAAAATATCTCTAAAAATAGGCTTTCTAACTTTAAATCTAAACTTCTAAGTAATTTAAGATGTTTATCCTTCATATGAGGAAACATTTCCTAGAAGGAAGCTATGGGTTTTTTAGGTGCTTTATCAGGTTAATGCTGAAAATCACAAGTTATATTTTTTTCTTGTTGCTTCTAAAGATAGATTTTGACATAGACTTGAGCTGAAATACCTGACAAAAATAAAATATGTACTGATATTTTATGCTAAATCAAGCAGAGATGAACAGAAAGAATAGAAATTATCCTAAAAAAAAAAACAAAAAAACAAACAGACTAGAAACTATCTGAAGGTAGTGTTGAAAAATCCTGGCTAACAACTAAGAATTCTGTCCATAGATGTATACATTTACAAGCAACTATAAAATGTCAATTTGAATTCCCAAAACACACTGTTAAAGTGAATTAGATATTCACATACTTAGAAGTTTATGCTCTAGAATTTTACTAGTGATTCCTATAATATGCTTATGTTATTTCAATTTATCTGAAGGTAGTGTTCAAAAATCCTGGCTAACAACTAAGAATTCTGTCCATAGATGTATACATTTACAAGCAACTATAAAATGTCAATTTGAATTCTCAAAACACACTGTTAAAGTGAATTAGATATTCACATACTTAGAAGTTTATGCTCTAGAATTTTACTAGTGATTCCTATAATATGCTTATGTTATTTCAATCTGGAAATGACAAGTGTGAGGCAGAGTGAACTGTACTTGGTTTGCAAAACAGAGAACTAGAATAAAAGTGGGAATCTTGATTCTAACCCAAAAACTTATTTGCAAGATCACAATATTAGCCTAGCTGAATGAAGAAAAAGTGCACACACACAAAAAAAACTGGTTATTTATTATCATTACCTCCCTTAGAGAGGTTAATTTTTTGAACTGCAACATTAGACAGTATTTATACCTACTAATCATTCTAGTAAGAATTTTTTAAAAATTTTATATGTTACCTTATGTGAAACTGATTGTATCTATCATCACCAGATGGTTTTTTAATAGCTACTGCTAACTTCTTCCATCCTTCTTGAGGATCAATAAAATCTGACAGCTTCCTAATTAGTCCAACATTGAGGCAGCGCACATATGTTGATGGTGTTATGGATTTGTTCATCTTCTATTCCTATAACATGAAAAGTTCTCATTAAAATTTTATAGTAGTTTTAGCAATGGTATCTGTAAGCTTATATATTGCTCTTTGTTATAACATATGAAACATTGACAACTGATTACACTATAAGGGAACACTCTCAAGCCAACTACAGTTGACACTTGAACATGAGTTTGAATTGTGCAGGTCCACTTATACATGGATTTTTTTCAATAAATATTGTAAATATATTTTCCCTTCCTTATAATTTCTTAATAACATTTTTTCTCTAGCTTACTTTATTGTTGAAATAAAATATATAATGTATATAACATACAAAATATGTGTTAATTGACTATTTATGTTATCAGTAAGGCTTCTGGTCAACAGCAGTTTATTAGTAGTTAAGTTTTGGGGGAGTCAAAAATTATTCTAGGATTTGCAACTGTACAGGGGTCGGTGCCCATAACCCCTGTGGTTTTCAAGGGTCAACCGTAGTTGATAACCCAAGAAAAAAATTAAAATTGTGCTTAGTCAACAGCAGTTTATTAGTAGTTAAGTTTTGGAGGAGTCAAAAATTATTCTAGGATTTGCAACTGCACAGGGGTCAGTGCCCATAACCCCTGTGGTTTTCAAGGGTCAACCGTAGTTGATACTCCAAGAAATAAATTAAAATTGTGCTTTATTCATTTATCCTCTGGGCTTGCTTTCTTTTTCCACCTATAATATCAGTTAAAAAAATTAAGTTCGTTTTTTCTTTTCTGACATTGACATTTTCTGAGTGAAATTTACACAAAGGAGCAAAAAGTTTACTTTTGCAAAGATATTTTTGTGAACACATTCAGGAATCAAATCTATTAGTAAAAGAGATTTATTTTTCAATTTAAAATATTTTCCTCAATCAGTATTTACTATTAAACATTTATGCAACACTCTTTGGTAGAAGGAAAACAAAATATATCCTGAAATAATTTGTGTAGCATTAAAAGGTATGGTCTATTCATCAGCTTTTCACATAACATGCTCCTCCTTGATCTCTTCACATTTCTTGGGTCCATTGGACCTGCCTGATCACAGTTAATTCCCTACTAAGCCAAACTCTGTGGTTAACCACTTTAATTACTGTCTAGACAGAACTTTATTTCCTCAGTCCTCTTTTTCTTCTGCTTCTCCACCCTGGAGAGCTGCGGCCGGGGATAAATCTCATAATTTTACTTGTACACCAAAGCTAATGAATACATCTGTAGAGAACTAGATAACTCAGCTGAGTGTGGTGAATACAAATTTATGGGAATCCCCTTTCCATCAGGCAGACAATACTGCTCTTAACCCTTTTACTTGTCTTCACTCATTGTCCTTATTGACCCTTTCACATTTTTACCTCTCCACGTGGTTTTATTTGATCTCTATGTCCCTCACTCTCAGCATTTTCGAAGAAATCTATCTATGAAGGGAATAAGCTTAGGAAGAGAGAGAGAGGTGGAAGGAGAGAGGGAAAGAATAAGGGAGGGAGGGAGAGAAAGAGGGAGAGGGAGAGGGAGAGAGAGAGAGAGACAGAGAGAGAGAGAGAGAGAGAGAGAGAGAGAGAGAGAGAGAGAGAGAGAGGAGAGAGAGAGAGAGAGAGGACACCAGTTATCAAACCTGGTCACTTGGTTTCAGTACTCTTTACATTCTTACAAATTATTGTGGACACCAAGATATTTTTTTTTTATGTTGGTGATAACTACCGGTATTTACAATATTAGAAACTGACACTGAGAAATTTAAAAATAATAAATAAAAATAAAAAATGTACATGTTTGCACATTTTAATAAAAAATAAAAATATTTCCCCTTACAAAATAGAAGAGTGACGCTGTTTTACAGTTTTACAAATCTCTTTAATGTTTAACTTAATAGAGGACAGCTGGATTCTCATATCTGCTTCTACATTCAATCTGCTGCAATATATTGTTTTGGTAGATGTATATGAAGAAATTCCAGCTTCACACAGACATATAATTGGGAGAAAAAGGAGTATTTTAGTCATCTTTTCACAAACTAGTAGATATTTTTCTTTCATGCCATACTAAAACTTGATAAGTGATAGTTTCCAAAAAGTGTGTTGCAATGTGGAATCTGAAACCATATAATAAACTTTGTCAAATTAAAACCCATTGCATTTTGAATGAATCTTTTACAATATGTAATTTTGACCTTATGAACCTCCTGAAAGAGACTCAAGGACCCCAAACACACCTTGAACTGTTGATTTAAGGTTTAAGACTTAAGCTTGCTTGTAGATACAAAAGGGATATATATAGTGAATAGAGTATAAGGGAAGAGTCTCACCTTGAATAGAAGGAAACCTCTTCCTTTGAATCTAGAAAAAGGGAAGCAGAAGTTTGGATATAGATATATTTTAAGTGAGAGGAAGAATTCCCAGACAATGTATTTTCTCCATGAAGCAGGAGGTAAGGTCATCTAGGGCTAGGTTAAAAATTGCTCAAGCATCTTGAGGGCCAACTGGCAAATGCCTCCTGTTCCTTGAAGCGCATCACAAAAGGCGCTATTGACTTTCCCTGAATGCCATCTCTTTTGCTTCAAATTTCCACTGGTCATTCTTCTATTATAACAATGATCATATTTTATTGTTTATGTATCTGCCTCTCTCCTAGATGGTATGCTCTCACAGTTAGGGACCCAACCAAATTTAGCTTCAGCAGACATTCAAAATATTTGTGTTAAATGAAAGAAAGACTGATTTTTTTTTTTAAGTTAAGAAATCGTATCTGCCTATAGATTTTGCAGTTATTCCAGTCACATTATTTTAAAAAATTTATTCAGATTTCTCTCCAATGTAAGAAGTAGTTAAAGTAGAATTGCTTAGTAATCCAAAAGCTAGAGCTAAAATAAAGAGAATTGAAAACAAAAAGTATACCTTAAAACTAAGGATAATTTGGTAGCTTTCCTGCACCCAGATTTCTAGCAGAGGTGATGGAACAGGAATATTAGAAAAAGGAAGGCTTTCTAACAACTCCTCCACACATATATGCCTGGAAGTTCTCAACTCAAAATTTAAAATTTTTCTTTAAACATTCATTCATATATCACCCCCAATACATATTTGTAAGAATATGCACCAAAATTTAACTGTGGTTATCTCTTGATGTAATTTTTATGGTGGTTCTTTCATGTGCTTTTCTGCATTTTCAATAATGGAAATAAATTATTTGTGTAGGAAGTTTTTAAAAGTATCATCTCTCTCAAAGTGTTCAAGATTTTACTTTAGGGCGCTTAAGATTAATAGAAGTGGAACAGGATATATTGCTTACAAATAATAAATAAATATTTCCATAACTATTTTCTCATACCATTAATTTTCATGGTAAAGAAAAACCATTCACATTTCAAACAAGACAATCCAGATAAGAATAGAAGGTAAGGTGAAAATTGAGAAATAAACTAAAATCAGTGTCAGCTTGTGGAACGCAATGCCTTCCTACTCATAAGCATGTTCTCAAAGTACTGTGCCCAAAGTAAGATTCAAAAATTTCTCATCAAATGAATTAATAAAGTTTTAAGACTGTGTTTCATTACCACTCTGATCAGAAGAATAGGGTGTAGACGGGTAAAGGGACGTTGGACTTTGAGGTTGCATGGGCCTGGATTCTAATATTGCTTTTCCACAAACCAACTGTGACCGAGATCAGTAACTAAGTTTCTCTGGACCTTGGTTTCTTAATCGGAAAAACAGAGATAGTAATACTTAAGAGTTGCTATAAGATTTAAAATCAACAAATGTGAAGGGCTTAATCGTATCAATAACAGGTGATCAAAAAATGTAGTGATGATTATTTTATGGCAGAAGTTATTCTTATATCACATAAAAAAGAAATGTGCAGAGTTGTATTTAAGCTTCATTTTCAGAATAGTGGTAAGGGGCTATTGAGAGAGTAGAAATGAGATGTCTGAAAATATAGCTAAGCTTTTCAGATGGTGGTAGCCTTATTTTTATCACGCATAGTATGTTTAATATGTTTATAATCTTCCTAAAATGCTTATTCTGCTCCATGCTTTCTTAAGCAAAATATACCAGATAACCATTAATCTTTATTTTTGGACAACTCAATATCATCATTATGAAGCAAAGCTGGTGATATCTTCTAGATCCATTAAATTATATAGGGCTGCCATTCTCAAACTGGGGTTTATGGTAGTATGCCATAAATTAAACATAACACATCATTCTCAAACAATGATTTAACTCAATGGTAAGTAGTTTAAAACACTTTGGATATATTTAAAAAATTAAAATATTATTCATTCATCAAATATTTACTGAGTATCTACTTTGTGTTGGATATCGATCCAGGTCCCAGACAAAGCATTAGGAAAATAAGAAAAAATTAACTGAACTCATGGCACTCATATTCTAATAGAGGAAGACATGCAATAAGCAGATAAACTCAATGGTATGTTAGATGGTAGCAAATTAAGTGAAGAAAAAGAGAAGGGGTTTTAATTTTAAGTGGGATAGTTAGAGTAGGCCTCAATAAGAAGGTGCCATTTGATTAATTAAAAGTCTGAATCAATGAGAAAGACAGGCACTAGGATATTGTACGAAAATATTCCAAGGGTCTGAAGTGGGCCATTGAGAAAAAACAAGGAGAAAGTGAGACTGGAGAGAAAGGAGCAGGAAAGTAGCAGATTAGATGAAAGAGGTAACAAGGCCAGGTCTCCTGGGGCCTTATAGCTTTTATATTGACTTTGTTTACCTTCTGAGTGAGATGAGAAGGCAGTGGAGATTTTGAGAAGACGAGAGACATGCTCTATACAGATGTTCTAAGACATTAAGGTTGCTGCTGAGAATAAAGGATACTAGAGTAAGGGCAGAGAAACAGGAAGAGACCAGTTAGAGGACACCAATAATCCAGGTGAGAGGTACTGGCATCATGGATTACAGTAGTAGCAAAGAAGGTGCGAATTCCTAGGATGCTGAATATTTTCTGAAGTAGAGCAAATACAATCCTATGTCCTGCTGTGAAGAGTGAGAAGACCGCACCAAGGTTTGTGGCCTAAACAAGTTTCTTGACTGAGATGAAGACTGTGGAAGAAGCAATTTTGGCCTGGAAGATCATGAGCTCAGCTTGGACAGGTAGAAAGCAAACCTCAAGCGAATGTTTAGCATGCAAACAGGAGAATAAAATAAACCTGAACTTTCTGACGGTCTCAAGGAAACCTGAACTTTCTGGGGTCAGAAAGGGAAAAGATAGATTTTAATATTCTCTGCTCTTAGGGCTCCTTGGTCAGAAGCATTTATGAGGCACTAACAGAGCTATCTGTTCTACCCATTCTAAATGGCTTAAATGCTTCCTCCCTTTCTCCGTGCCTGCTTTTTATCTCTTTGTTTTCTCTCTTGCTTCAGAGTTGGCATGTCCACTTTCCCTATTTGATAATGTACTTATCTAAACCTTACAACCCCTTTCGGACTTCTAGTTTCTTGGAAGCCTGGAACCCAGAGAAAAAGCTAGAATCTTGTAAGGGCTCAGAATGCTTTCCATAGGACGAGCTTCTCTGCTGGGTGCTGGCCTTACTTCCTGGTTCTCAGGAAAAGAGATTTCATTTTGTAATCTGGCACTCGGACGGTACTAAGCGCAGGGGGTTGAGAAATTTATGGCGAGGTCCGACTGAGCCACAGAATGGCTGGGTGTCGCCTCTCCACGCTCCAAGTTCCTCTTCAGGTTGACTAACTTTTAGATCCCCTGGGACTCAAGTCTTTATCCTGGGGCAAGCTCTGCCCATGCAACCTATTTCGTCTTTGTCTCATTCTGAAGATAAGCGGTGAATTTCCTTCCGAAACGGTTCCTCAATAATCTTGGGGCAGATGGACAAAGGCGGGGGCTGTGGACTTCGGACAACCTGCCGTGAAAGAGGCGCGCACAGTTGGAATCCCTTACCTGCCCAAGCGCGGGGCGCTAGGTGCCGACGCGACCCCGCCCGGTGTCTCAGCAGATGAGGAATCAGGGCAATAGGAACGGCCAGGGAGGGGCGGGGCCGAACGGGCCTATCATGCCAGGCCCCGCCCAGGCCCCGCCCCCCCGTTCCTCGCTGCCTCTGCAGGCGGCTCTTCTAATCGGGAAATTCCAGTCTCGCGTAAGGCACTTCTTTAAGTGGGAACCTGCCCCTTTAAATAAGCCTCTGTCGGAGGCGAAATATTTTAAGTCTTCCGGACTTGCGCACAACGTTGTGCAGAGGAATGCCTTCACCTGGAGGTGAGGTACGCCGGGTCGAGTTTCTTGTGTGATGTGGGGCCTGTGTATGGGGCGATGATATGCTTAGCGTTGGGACTCTGGCCCTTTGTCCCCAAGAGGAAGGCGATGTGGGCTAGTATCGCGCCCAGGGACAGGCGGGTGTGAGGGAGGGAGAATAAGCAAGTGGAGCTGCTGGCGGTTTCTGAGGGTACTCTTGGACACGCCAGAAGGCCACGCCACCGGAGACTTTAGTTCTGCAGATTGGTGACAGAAGTAGGAAGTAGGAGTTCGGCGGAGCTTTGGCAATTAGTGAAGCAAGAGCATGAGAGAAAAGACGCTATCTTCCTCCATTCCTAACATCTTCCTAGTATCTGTTCTCAACGAGCAATTGTCCAAATTTTGGTCAAACTACCTTCCCCCTCTCTACCCCTTACCCTCAGCAACAAATCAGCTTATGCTTAACTCCACATGGGCCTCTTGGCTCTTTTCCAGCTGGGTTCCACTCTTTTACTAAGATGCTTGGTTGTAATTCCCTCATCGTTACATTCTCCCCAAGTTGTTCTACCTATTCAGCTAGCTTAGGCTGTCTTCATATCTTCTTCCTCTTACAGCTGGGGAGAAGGCTAATCCTACAACTGTGCTCTTGATTACATTGCTTTCCACCTCCTGTAACTTCATCAGATTCATTTTGCTCGGAGCCTTCAGTCATCTTACTAAAACATCTTTTTGGATTGTGTCATTTTCCGACCCAGACACCTCCAGTGGCCATCCACTAGCAACTCAATAGATTCTAAGTCTGTGACAGTGCATTCAGTGTCTTACACAGTTAGGCACTAATTTGGCTGTATTTTCCAGGACTACTAGAAAACATTTTCTCCTACAGCTCTGCATCTGGGCTGTTCAAGTTTTCTCTAACACACTATATATATTTTTAATATTACTTATGATATGCCTCATATCATTTCTGTCGCTTGAACAGTTTTGAGGACTTAGATGGCCACTTCTTGATTATGCCTTTACTAATTATCACAGGCAAAAGTGATGTAAACTCTTACAGATCTTATTTTCTACTGATTTCATTTATTCGACAGTCATAATTGATCATGTGCCTACTATGAGCTTGACAATGTTTTAAATGTGAGCTAATCAGTGAATAAGGCAAACAAGTTTTTTTTATGGAGCTAACAGTTTGAGGGAGATACACAAAAATTAATGAAGAAAGTTATTAGGTAGAAATACAATGCAGAAAAATCAATAAGGTTTTGTGAGAGTGACTTGCTGGTTCCTTTAGATTATTGGTCAGGGAAAACTTCTCTGAGGATGTGATTTGAGAAGGACCAATTTAATCAGCAAGACCAATTAGTACAAAGGAACTGAAGAAGGCTAGTGTAGCTGGTGTATGGTAGGTAATGGGGAAAGGATACAAAATAAAATCTGAGAATAGACAAAGTCCAGAATTTTAGAACTCTTTGGAAGCCAGGGTAATTTGAGTTTTTATTATAAATGTGATTTGAGGGTTTTAAACAAGGTTGTGATATGGTTTAATTTACCTATTAAATCATCATTCTAGACATTATGTGGAGAATGGACTGTAGTGGGTTAGTAGCAGAAGCAGAGATTAGAGGCCTTTATAATGTATAAGAATTTCTGGAGTGGAAGTACTAAAGTGGAGTGATGAAAAGACAGCAGGAGTAATCAGAGAGCCAGATGCTTAAAGTTGATGCAATTTTCGGTGATAATTTAAGTCAAGGCTATGACCAAGATGAAATGTAAGTGGGTTGAGGCCGAGATTGAGGAACTGAGGCACTGCAGTGTTAAATGGAGGTCATGAAAGTATTGCTGGTTAAGAAGACAGTGAGCCAGGTGTTAAAGTCATCAGTGAATCAAGTCATCTGGGGACCAGAGAGAGGATGAGAGCAGATGGCAGAGTCTGATGGCATGAACTGCAAAAGAACTGGGATTTGGGGAGGTAGAGGAGGAAGAAAGGATTTGGAAGAATCAGTGGCAAACATAGAAAATATTTACAACTTCCAGGTCCAAAGTTAGGTGGGTATGAATGGAAAAAATAGCTTTTACATGAGATGACTACAGAAGAAACAACCTGGGGAAATAACCAGGTTTCAATTAAGGCAAAAAACTGAGGAGATTGTGTAGGAAATTAAGGAATGATGGAAAATAAATATATTCTTACAAATTTCCTAGGAAATTAGGGTGTAGAGAATTTGCTGTGATTTCTACATGGCATAGTACAATGGAAAAGGAGGGTTTGCTAAATGGGTTCAGATTAGTAGAATACATTGTAGACATGGGATGAAGGTCCAGATAATGATAAATTACCTGGAGAGTATGACTACCACGAGAAACTGAGTAGTATGGGGCCCAGGGCATTTTTCTTTTCTGTAGCTCCATCTGGTCTGTTAGCCATGGATTGTCTGAAGAGTGAGTGAAGGCTTCCTTAGAGGACTGTTCTCTTATCTACTGCTTCAAGAAGATCTGTTAACTCATTTCCTATTTGCCCCAGGAATACCTGCCAGCAGCACTTGCAGATTACAGTCCTCACCGTACCCCTAGAGTTTGCCGTGAAATATCCTGCTTTTATTATTATTTTCTCATCGCTCTGGTATATTGATAGTCTTTGTAAACAAATGACATCATTCTGTTTATAGCATTCTGTTTTCAGTAGTTCCATCACTGAAAATGTCAAATCCTAGAAAATGTAGCAGTCCTACGTGTGATGTTAAATTATTAGTGTCTTTAAAGGAGATTAAGGATTGAAAGGGAGAATGAGAATTAAATTCTGCAAACATTTCTTTTTTGTTATCTACAATTTTTCTTTCTAGTAACTGACTAACTGCCTTTGTTTCTTTTGTAGGCATTGTTATTAAAGAATGGAAGAAGATACAGATTTTAGAATCAGATTTAGTTCTTTGTGTTTCATTACTGATCATGTTGGATTTCATGGCACTATAAAAAGTTCACCAAGTGACTTCGTTGTTATTGAGATAGATGAACAAGGACAGTTAGTTAATAAGGCCATTGATGAACTTATTTGCAAAATTAGTAAAGTACTGCCTGAGCCAAGTAATTTTACCAAAAAAACAAAACTAGATCTTCAAAATTTACCTTTTGAAGAGGGAAGCAACAAAGAAGCCAGTACTTTGGTTGAGTGCTCCAATGATGACCAAAACCCTCAGTGTGGTTCAAAAAAGGATACAATCAACAATGGAACTCCTGAATGTGAAGAAGAAAAGGTTGATGTGTTAGGCTCTTTGTTAGATGAGAGAACTAATGAATTACTGACTCAGTTTGCCTGTGATGTAAAAGAGAAATGGAATTCCAAAACTGAGCTAGTTGGACCATCTCCTGAATTCTCACTAGGCAAAATCCTTGACAAAAACCAGAGGGCTATTTTGCATAGTGCTATTAGGCAGAAGTTTCCTTTCTTAATAACTGTAGGAAAAAACAGTGAAATTGTTGTAAAACCAAATATTGAGTATAAAGAACTCTGTCTCTTGGTATCTGAAGAAGAAGCATTTGACTTTTTTAAATATTTGGATGCAAAGAAAGAAAATTCGAAATTTACTTTTAAACCTGATACGGACAAAGACCATAGAAAAGCTGTTCACCATTTTGTCAATAAAAAATTCGGAAATCTTGTGGAAACCAAATCTTTTCCTGAACCTAATTACAATGCTGGTAATCCAAATATAGTGATAACAGTAAGATTTCGAGAAAAAGCACACAAGCACAGGAAAAGGTCTCTTCTTGAATACCAGGAAAGAAAAGTTATATACACAGGTAATTTAACAAATCATTACTGTTTTCTTTGATAAACTTAGTTAAAATTGTGAATCAGTGAAAGCTGAATAATTCAAATGAATTGAATAGATTTGTCCAGAGGGATATTAGAAAAAATATATGGGTATGTTTTTCAATGGAAGGTAAAGTCTTTCCACAAATTACATTAATTATAGAAAAATAACCTTATTGATGAAAATATGGTTAACAGATATTTCTGGTTAACATAGTCACAAATATATAATTGAAGCAGTTATTTTTTAATAAGTTTTGTTGGAAGTAAATCATGATATATTTTGAAAGATAATTAAAATTAAATAATTGGAGACAAGTAGAATATATTTGCTATACTTGGGAAAGTGATTACTTTGTAATCTAAAACAGTTGCACCTCACTTCCCAAGGCAGGGAACCTGAAAACTTACAGGAGCCTCCTTCCTTTGGCTCAGTCAAACTTTTAGAGAAGAGGTTCTCCAACGTGAGTAGCATTATCATCACCAAAAGGGCTTATTAAAACATTTCTGAACCTTATTCTCAGACTTTCCGATTTAGAAGATTTGGGGTAAGGCTTTCACAAATTCCTAGGAGATGCTTTTCTACTGGTCTGGGGACCGACCACATTTTGAGATTCAGTGTTTCAGGGGATAAAAATTCAGGGGACATAGTTCCTAGTATGGGATGGAACTGACAAAATCTCACTGCAAGTTTGGCTGAACAGGTTTAATTGGCTTATATCCTACTTGCAGGATGGGATATGTTTCAGGTGGTCATGTTTTATAAATTTATACAGCAAAACATTTAAGATACAAGCAGTAACCCAAATTTGCATAGATGTGTATGGCATAGATGCAGGATATGTAGCGACCCTATGGTATAAATGAAGAGAGTTTGGACCTTGGACCTGTGTGGGTTTTATTTTACATTATGATTTTAGTTGATAAAATGATTCATTAACTTTTTAATATCTTTAATTCTTAGTTTCTACAAATATAAAAATAGAAAAAATTGGTAAGTTACTTAATTCATAACTTTGGATTGTACTTTAAAAATGGGGTAGTAGTAAAGTGTAATTCACAATGATATTCTAAGGATTAAATGAAATAATTAATGAAAGAGTTTAGTATGTAATAGTTATTCAAATATTGGTGTCTTCTCTCCTGGAAATTTCTTTCTGGTTGTGTGACTTGCCTTTTCCATGAGAAAGCTGCTAGTATAGGATTTTACACATAAGGCATGCAATAAATGTTAACAGATAAATCTATTTGGAAATAAAAACAAAACTAGCTTAACGTGTGGGGGAAGAATTGCTGATAAGTGATTTAAGCATCTATAGATTTAATACTTGAAATTCTAATAGTATTAATTTGAGTTAATCAACCACAAATTGTGGAACTTCTTATATATTAGTTTACATTAGTTTTACAAAAACTATGAATAATTGGAGGGATATGTTAAAAGGAGGAATCGATGGTTCACCAGAGATAATACGAAGATCCTGCTATACCTATAAGTCTAAGAACACAGAAAAAGACAAACTCTGCCTGTCCCAAATTTTGTAGGCCAACTTTTTGTAACAAAAATAGCTCATATTAAAAAGAATTTTATAATAAGTAGACCTATATACAAAATAGAATACTTAAAAAACTTTTAATTGTAAAATATATATATAATTTACCATTTTAATCACTTTTAAGTATACAGTTCAGTGACATTAAGTACATTCACATTGTTGTACAGCCATCACCACCATCCATCTTCAGAACTTCTTCATCTTCCCAAACTAAAACTCTATTCCCATTAACCACCATTCACCACTCCCCCAGCCACTGGCAACCACCATTCTGCTTTCTGTCTCTGTGAATTCGACTACTCTATATAAGTGGAATTTCATGTAAGTGAAATTGTACAATATTTGTCCTTTCATCATTGTCTTATTTCACTTAGCTTAAGGTCTTCAAGGTTCATCATGTTATACATGTGTTAGAATTTTCTTTCATTTTAAGGTTGAATAATATTCCATTTCATGTATATACCTCATTTTGTTTATTCATTCATCTGCCAATGGACATGGGTAGCTTCTCTCTTTTGGCTATCGTGAATAACGTTGCTATGAAAATGGCTGTAAAAATGCATTCAGGTCCCTGTTTTCAGTTCCTTTGGATGTATACCCAGAGTGGAATTGCTGAATCATATGGTAATTCTATGTTTAATTTTTTGAAGCATTTCCTAGGATATGTTTCCTAGGATATGCTTTTGAAGAAGGAATTTTATAAAAGATTTAAGCATCCAATGAAAATTTCATTTTAGATATTGCATTTCTCAACTCTAGAAGTTTCATTTGTTTCTTTCTTAGGTATTCAATTTCTTATTATGTTCTTGTTTTCTGATGTATAATCTTTGAGCTTATTTCTAATAGGTCTTTAAAAATATTTGTCTGCTAATTATATCTCTCTCATTTCTGGGTATGTTTATATTGACTGACTTTTATTTGGGTTATGGGTCATATTATTCTGCTTCTCTGCAGGTCTAGTAATGTTTTTTTTTCTAGGTCAAACATCGTGTTACCTTGTTGAGTGTCCAAATTTTGTTGTCTTCTTTTAAAGAGTGTTTGTTGAACTTTGCTTTAGCAGATAGGAAGTAATTTACAGATATATTAGAGGCTTCATTTTGAGTTTTATTAGGATAGGTCTAGAGTAAGCTTTACTCTGATTCTGTCATAAAGCTCTGCTATTACAGTATGATCCTTTTGTGATTTCTACTGAATGCCCTTGTTATTTAATTAGATCTCTTCTTTCTGGCTGGGCTCCAGCCTCATGTAATCTCTGGCACGTTACAGATGGCTAGCCTGGTGGAGCATGTTAGCCAGCATCCACATGGCCCTCAATGATCTTTAACTATAGGTATTCATGTCCTTATGTAGTCCCAACCTACATTGATTCTGGGTCAGACTGTTTGACCAATAGAATATGACAGAAATGACAGTAACTTCTGAGGCTAAGTAATTAAAGGCATTTCATATTACTCACTGTGAAGCAAACTACATACCTTGAAAATGCTCAAGAATTCCTGTGGAGAGAAACCGAGGCCTCTATTAATGACACTAACTTAACACTGATGTAAGTGAAGTATCTTGGAAGTAGATCTTCCAGCTTCAGCTGATGTTCCACATCAACTTCACAATAGACCCTAAGCCAGAGCTCCTGAATTCCTGATCCACAGAAACTGCAGGATAATGTATTAATCTGCTCAGGCTGCCATAACAGAATGCCATAGACTAGGTGACTGAAACGACAGAAATTTATTTTCTCACAGTTCTGGAGACTGAAAGTCCAAGATCAAGATGCCAACAGGGTTGATGTCTGGTAAGGGCTATCCCTTTAGATTGCAGACAGCCTCTGTCTTGCTGTGTGCTCACATGATCTCTTCTTTGGACACACATGGAGTGGGAGATCAAGAGCGAGCTCACTGGTGTCTTCTTATAAGGATACTAATCCTATTGAATGAGGGCCCCACTCTTATGACCTCATATAACCTTAATTCTTAGAGGCCTCATTCCAAACACAGCTACACTGGGGTTAGCGCTTTTTCATATGAATTTGGGGGGCATACAGACATTTAGTCTCTAAAAGTTAGTAAATGATTATTTTTATTTTATGACACTAGGATTTAGGGTGATTTCTTATGCAGGATAATTAATAGAAATTTTGGTATCAGAAATGAGTTGCTGCTGTAACAAAGCCTAACACCTGTGGTAGCAATGCCTTCGGGACCTGTTGGCAGGCAGAAATTTGAAGATATCTAAGGGAAGCTGTCAATGAGAGTTGAAAGGAAAGTAAAGACAATATTATTAAAACCTGGAAGAAAGGGATCCTTGTTATATAATGGCAGGAAATTTAGCAACACTGTTGCCTACAATAAAATAGAAAGTAGAAAATGTATCTAAAGAAGGGATGCTCTAACTAGAGAGATTTGCAGGTAAAGTGTGGAGGGTGCCACCTCATTTCTTTTTTACTGCTTACAGTAAAATTCTAAAGGAAAAACTGTTGGATATAAAGGAGCCAAGAGTGCTGGGTTCAAAAATAATTAAATAAAAGAAATAAATCCTCACCTCTCCAGATGGTACATGGTGTTTAAATTAAAAAATAGCTTTTAGGCAAAGAGAAAATCATGGCAGGTCAGGACAAAATGTTCTAACAAGGAAACCTAGAGTGTGATTGGAAAACTATTTGCTAAAATTGTTTAAAGGTGTATAGCAGTGTCTCAGAGAATGGTTCAGACACAAGGCCCACTGAGAACTTTAAGGGCATGACTCATGGATCCCTCGTGTTAAACAGTAATTTTTCTGGGAATTTAGGGACATCTTCCCTCAGCAGCTTCAGGAGAAGCCCTAAATAGAAAAGATCTTATCTTGACAAAATTTGAGTATATCTTTGTCTAATAGAGTGAAACCCAGAGAAGACCCACACAGTTTTTGAAAAGATCAAAGGCAGTATGAAATAAAGAGAGGCTTTTGTACTCCCAAATATTGAAAGTCAGAAATGAGACTGAGAAAACTACTCAGCTGTGAACAGGCTATCTTTAATGGAAAAGGAAGGTTCACTAAGAGGGCAGAGCCCAGAGGTGTACCCTACAGCCACAGCAATCATTCCTAGATACTGGTAGGACTGAATTCTAATAAAGGAATATCCAACAAATTTCTGCTTGGATTCAGAATTGCTGCATATCAGTAACTTCTAAGTATTTCCAGTTTTCCCCAGTTTAAATAAAGTCTGTAGTGCTTGCCCTATCTATGTGTATTTCAACATTACAAAGTGTGTGTAAAGCAGATTTGTCTCTTCATGTCATAGTCCTTTGTAGCCTTCATATTAAGATAAATTGTATTTGAGGATTCTAATATGAGATGTACTCAAGGAGCCTTATCTACATCTGGACCTGATTCAGGTGAAAAAATGCTAGGATTTGAGCTGTTGTCTTAATGGGATGAGTCTTTGAGGCCTTGTGAAGGAATGAGTGTATTTTGAAAGGGGATGGATCATAAATATTAGAGCCAGAAGATGGATTGTGGTTCTCAACATCCAAGAAGGCTCTCAGATATTAACACAGAGTGGCCTGTGTGACAGAAGTGTTGGTGTGTGAGTGCTAAGGCTAGATCATAAAAAATGTTGCACTTTTTGTTCATGTTTCTTGATTTTCTCGTTCAGGGATGAGCTAGTTCCATACTGTAATGATACTCAAGCAGACCTTTGGAGAGGAACCAAAGCCTCCTGCCAATAGCTAGCACCAACTTGGCAGCCATGCAATAAGCCCCCTTGGAAATGGATCCTGCAGGTCCTGTCAGGCTTTTGAATAACTGTAGCCCCAGCCACATCTAACTGTAATCTCATGAGAGAGCCTGAGTTGAAACCACCAAACCAAGATGCTCTTGAATTCCTTACCAACAAAAACTGTGAGAGATAGATAAATATTGTAAGCCACTAAGATTTAGGGTGACTTGTTACACAACATTAGATAAATAATACACAGTATTTCATCCTAGGTATGTGTGGATTACTCATCAGCAACAAACTCAAGGGATCACTTATGTGGATTTCTGGAACTCTCTCCGTGTAGCTTCTTATCTGGTACTCTGCCCCATGAATTCCAGCCCACTTGGCCTTCCTGAACTTCATCTTCTACTTTCTTAATTTAGCAAGACCACTCCCATCTACCTGGATTCCATCTCCCTGTGCTATGGTCCAGAAAGTACCTCTAGACAGCAAACCAGGGTATTTTAGGACTCATGTCATCTATTTTCCTTTCCTTTTGGATCACAGTTCTGTGGTGCCTATTCTCTAGTGTTTAAAAACAGGTGTTTCATAGTTTTTTTCCCTTGGTTTTCTGTTTGTTTATAGTGGGAGGTGAAGTCTGGTACCAATTATTCCAAAATGGCTAGAAGTGGAAGTCTCTAAAATTGAATTTTTAATTTAGCATAGTTGATTTACTTTTTAAATACTTTAGTTGTTCCAAATAATTAAGAAAATGTTATGAAACTTATAAGTTTAGTGACCTTTAAATGTTCCTATATGTTTCCATGTTATTTACTAATATAGTGAGGTTTCAATGTAAAAAGAAAGATTTAAATCAATTAGACATTTTTAATTGGAATTCTTTAAGTCTATTTCTTTTAAACATTCCAAGTACATAAAGCAGATTCATTAACACAAATACTAAATTAATGGACTTGATTCTCTTAAATACCTCTATATTCTAAATCTTCATGGATAAAAAATGGCTAATCAGCAACAAAATGATATAATCTCAAGCAATTTGGAGGTTCCTTCTTATTACATAGCTGAGTTTACCTAATGACCATTGAGTGACATGCCCAGATTGTCAGGGACAGATTTGACTCATTAAACCATACTTAAACACATGAACTATAAAACTTTAGAGACTGGTCTCCTAGCCTTCTTCCTTTACATAGTACAGTTTCCTGGTCTACTTTTCAAAGTTTGCAACTCCAAACCAGGCTGCTGTGACATTTGATTGAATTTTGCATTTCTTTTAAGCAATTTTAATGACTTCTGTCTAGTTTCATAGATTTGGTATACTTCAGGGACTACTATATTTTTTCACATTATTCCTAATTGGTTCTCAAAATTTTTGGTTCCCTGAGGAGTATAGCTCTTATAAGTTATTGTGGACCCCCAACCAACTTTTGTTTACATGGTTATCTCTTGATATCTGACTTATTATCAATTAAAGTAGAAATTTTAAAAATGTGAATTTATTTAAGATAAATCTATTACTATTAACATAACATTTTTAATGAAAAATGACGATATTTTTTAACTAAATTTTTTAACTAAAATTAGAAGGATTGCATTGTTTTACAGTTCTACATATGTTTCTAACATCCAACTTAAAAGAAGTCAGCTGGATTCTGTTTTCTGTTCCTGCATTCAATCTGTTGTAATGTTTTATTTTGATTGAAACAAATAAACAAAATTCAGCCTTATACATGTATATAGATGGAAAAGGGAGAACACTGTAGATGCGCTAAGATGACAGGTCAGAGAAATCTTACAGATATTAAAATATTTGATATTTTGATCTTTCTATTGCTTTGACTGTTTGCCATACTTCTGTTCATTCTTCAAGCCCCCACAGCAGCAGCACTACCATTCTCAAAGTCTTTTCAGGCTCCCAAGACTGAATGCTCCCAAAGAGGGACTCATTTTTGTTTTATTGGCCATTATATTTTAGCCTAGCACATCTTCCAAAATCATTTTATTTAACTCTATAATTCTATTATGGTAGTCACTGACATATTTTGAGGTTATAATCTCTACATTTTAAACACGGGGTTTTAATTTCATTTTCTTTGAGACAACTGTTATAAACAGCTGCCTTAGAATCAGAGGTTTATATTCAAATCCATTTGGCTAAGATACCCCAAAAGTATAAAGAATAAATTGTGATTTAACACACAGAAGTAACGTGTATGATTTCTCCTCTACTTCTTTTATCAGTTCTTTAAGAATAACAGGAGTCATAGTACATTTAATTTATCGCTGCTTTAATAGAAAATGCGAAGAATTCTAGGAAGCTATTGTGATAGTACAAAAAATAATGACCCTAGTGGTAAAAAAAATTTAAGAAATAGTGGCCAATGCTTCAGTATTCTACAGAAATTATAGTTTTACACTGTAAAAGTTCTTAAACGTAGGTAAAAATATAAATCTATTGTTAAAATTGAAACATTAAAAATATACTGCATTGCATTACAGATTTTTTAAACTTTTGCATAAATGACATACATTATACGTATTTTTGAAGGTTGCTATTTTCATGTTTTTAGAGATTATTTATATAGAGCTACAAGAAACATACTTGTTCTTCCCTAATCTTTTAAATACTACGTGATATTCCAAATTATGGATATTACCAGCTTTGTTTGGCTATTTCATATATTCATAAATAGATACATACATACATTTACATCTTCCTACTTGCTGGGTCATGTTTATGTTTAATGTTCATTTTTCTTAGAACACTCTTCAAAGAGATCCTTGTAGCTGCTGATGACAATTACAATAATCGAACAAAATATAAATTATTCTGCAAAAAATTGAATTTCCTTTTCACAATTTGAAGGGAGGGCAGTACTTTGAAGTATCTTATATGTAAATATGGTGAACTGAGGATTGCAGTATTTTGTTACTGTCAATACTGGCAGGTTATATAGGTCAACATATCCTGGGGATTTTTGGTGGTCGTTGTTATGGGCCTTGTTCCTCCTCCCCACCCTCACTCCTACTCTCTTATCTAAAAGGCATTTTAAACATCTACCACAAAGCAAGCACTTTTATTTATTGGCTCTCAGCCTATGGAGTGGGCAAACATTAAAAGATAAATTGTAATACTTCGTGTTAAGTGTCATCAAACAGATAATGACAACTTGTGGAGACAAGCAAGATTAAGATTAAGTAATTTGATTCAACAAATATTTGAAAGCCTACTATGTGTTAGGCCGAGGATATAACAGTCAGTAAAACAAATACAACCCCTACCTTGGGAGCATTCGGCCTTGGGACCCTGGAAAGAATTTGCGGAGAACTGCTGCTGCTGTTGGATAGTGAAAATTGAATAGAAGTATGACAAGTAAAATGGAAGGAACATATATTTTAGACAGAGGGACTCAAATGTGCAAAAGTATAAAGCTGTGGAAGGATTATGAGAAATTAACTGTGTCAAGGTTATAGGAATGGAAGTGGCACATGTGGAGACCAAAAAAGGAGATTGGGGCCAGCCAGATATGAATGCCAAATGAAGGAATTTTGTTTTTTTTTTTTATGTAAAGCTTTAATGAACCAATTAGCATGTAAAAAATAACAGCTGAAATCTATAACTGATTTTGTATTTTGATTCTAATTTAAATTAATGATTTAATTCATTATATTAATCTGTTAGTCTGCTTAGCCTATAGTTGCTGTATGGTAGCTGCTTTTTTTATAATCTAGGATTATTTTTGTTTCAGCCTTTACCCTACGAAAAGAAAATATGGAAATGTTTGAAGCAGTTGGTTTTTTAGCTATCAAACTTGGTGTGATTTCTTCGGATTTTAGTTATGCAGGCCTTAAAGACAAGAAAGCCATCACCTATCAAGCGATGGTGGTTAGAAAAGTGACTCCAGAAAGGTAATAAGACATTACTTTATAAGAGAGAATTGTTCTTATTGCATCAAATAAATAAATGTAAGATTAAAAACTCAGAATATACTGGGAGCGTATTAACCTCACTCTCAATATTCACTGGTCACAGGCTTTCCAAGCAGCACATTCTGCATATAATTATCTTCTAAATAGTTATGTCTAAAATTTACATTGAGGACGTGGTTCCATAGTGTAGCAGTTAGCACCTCTGCTTTACATGCAGAAGGTCCTGAGTTTGTGCACCAGGGGAGCCACAGTCCATGGTCTATGGCCATGCTACCCTGAACAAGCCCGATCCCATTTGATCTCGGAAGCTAAGCAGAGTTGGGCCTGGTTAGTACTTGGATGGGAGACCTCCTAGGAAGTCTGTAGGCATAAATAATAATAAAAATAAATAAAATACAATTTACATTGAAAATATAGTTTTAGGATAGAAACTTTGAAAAGCGGTGATTTTTTTTTGCTATTTTATTTTATTTTTTATTTATTTTTTAATTGAAGAAATGATTTAAATTCCCTCCCCCGCCTCCCCCACCCGCCGCAGGTCTACCTCCTCCTCTCCACCTCCCCTCTGGCAGCTGATTTTAAATGATCTAGATTGTTTCTAAACATCCTGTTCTATATACAAATATAAGTTCACATTTAGGACAGTGTCTTACAAATCTTTTTTTCTAATTACTATAATACTTGTATAATTTTATTGTATTTTTTTGTATTTAAAATAAATCTTTGTTAAATAGAATGTAAAACACTCAATTTTAGCCTCTCCGGCTTAATCAAATATTAAAAATGTTTTTGTAATGAAAAAAGAAATACATGTTAATTATAGATTTAGAAAGTAAAGAAAAAACGTACTGAATAAAAAAAGAAAAGTCACTGATAATTCTGCTACTCAGAAAGAACCATGATAACAATTCGATATATTTCCTTCCAGACTTTTTTCAGAGACTGTATTACATACATACATACATTGTATATAGACATTTTTTATGCATGTGAAAATCATATTGTATATGTAATTTATATTTTACTTATAAAATTATTATTTTATTAAAATTTGTGTCATGAAATATTTCAAAATTATGTTTATTACATAGGCTAATTTGTTTAACATTCCCCTAGTTTTAGATATAGAAATTAGTTCCAATATTTCACTTTAAATAATACTGCGATTAATATTATTGCACTTAAAATCTGTGCCTTGTAGATATTTTTCAAAATATGTCATTGGGCCAAAATTCAGCCTAATTTGATGTAATATTGATACATTCAATCTTAGTCATAAGATGTTTCAGTATCCACTATTTGCAGGTAGAAGCCTCTAAGCTCTTATATAAGGGACAAAAAAAATGTACATGATTTTGTCTTTGGTCAAGAAGTGCAGTATAGGTAAGAGAGGAGGATGTTAGATGTTAAATGATATTTAGTTGTTGAAAGCTAGTTTTTAATTTACAAAGACAAGAAATATTAGTTCTAGGATTTAGCTTATAGGTATGGGATTTTAATTATCCTTCAAGTAATAGTAGATTTTATCAGATGCAGAAACCCTGAAGATACATTTAGAGGAGCAGTAAATTAAACAGTCTGCCTAATAAAACAGATAGTTACTATAAGGACTACAAAAAATATGAATGTAAAGAAAAAATTATATCAGTTTTTAAAGGATTTTAAAAGTTATGCCAAGATAATTGGAATCCATTCTTTAGATGTTGGGGAAGAATTGAAAGTTTAAGTAAGGGATTGTTCAGAGTATAATTTTAGGAACATCCTCTGGTGCTAGTAGTTCTTCTTGATAACGCTGGGAGAAGAGAGACTGAGGAGGAAAGGAACAAAGTCGATAAGAGCAGGAACAGGAGAACAGTTGATTTCTATCATTTGAACTAATGAATCAAAAGCCCTACACCAGAAAAGGTATATGTTCCAGGTCTGAAAATAACTGGTTAATATAATTTTATAATAATGGGTTTCTAGTGCACAGTTGTTGAAAAAACACTGACTTCATAATATTCCCCCAAAAAGTTTTTTCAGTATTCTGATATAAGTGGTTACCTGGCAACTATCATTTAAAACTTATAATAATTTTCGAAATGTAAAATTTAACTGAGTCTATATGATTTATCATTTTTAGGTTGAAAAATATTGAAAAAGAAATTGAAAAGAAAAGAATGAATGTGTTTAATATTCGGTCTGTAGACGATTCCCTTAGACTCGGTCAGCTCAAAGGAAATCACTTTGATATTGTCATCAGAAATTTAAAAACCCAAATAAATGATTCAGCAAACCTGAGAGAGAGAATTTTGGAGGCAATAGAAAATGTTAAGGTAAGAATACTCAATTTTAAAATAGAATATTACAGGAAAATTTTCATAGCCCTTCTCTTTACATTGAGGCAAGAAGGAAAACTTTTTCCTTGGTACCTTTTGTTTTCATTTGCATGTATAATTATTTTTTAAAATGATAACATGGCTGTTTGGCTTATTTTCTGCTTTCTTAGTACATTTTTGTATGGGGAAAAAAAAAACCAACTTTAATGTAATTAAAATATAAAATGTATAGATTTCCCCAGAGATGGAGGGAATAAAACTGTCTTTATAAGAAGAATGATTTTTAGCATTTGCCATATAGAGTATTATGTTAGGGAAAGGGATTAATATTTTTGGAAACTTTGTTCAGTAATTCTTTTTAGAAATCTGGTAATTTGGCAAATTATTTTTTAGAATTAAATACAATCTTTTTTTCTTTTCAACTGAATTTTCAATTATGTTTCAATTTATACAAATGATAAATTGTATACATTTTATGTCGTATAGCAAAAAAATTACTTAATGTATATTTTTAAATGACATTTGCCAGGCATCTAAATATGCATATACAACTATAGCTTTCAGTTCATTATCTAGGCAATGGGTCAGCAAACTTTTTTCATAAAGGGCCAGATAACAAATATCTTTGGCTTTGTAGGCATTTGATCTCTATGGCAACTACTCTGTTGCCATTGTGTTGGTCCAGATCTGACTCGTTGGCAGTTAGTAATTTGCCAACCTCCTATCTAGACAAGTAATTCTCAATCTGGGGGCTTTACAAAGTCTCAGCAGTCAATCTCTACTCCCAGACCAATTAAATAAGAACATTTGAGGATGCTGTTTAGGCATTAGTATTTTTTAAAAACTCCCTAAGTGATTCTACTCTGTAGCTAATATGAGAAACACTGATCTAAGTTTCTGAAAACAAAGACCTTTTTTACACAATTTTATACCTCTCTACCAGGAAGACAAAACTTGTTTTTAATCAATATCATGCCTTATAGTCAGGAAGCTTTCAAATCTCTTGTAATTTCCTAAATCTGGAGAGTGATAGAGTTGTCTTTTGTTATGTTAATGAGGTGACTTTTGGCAATCACCTATGTTGGGGGCTGTTTGTCAATGGAGCCAACCAAGTGATTAAAAAATAGTAGTTTACAGTACCACCCCTGACCTCTTGGGGAGAGGGGCTGGGGGTGAAATCAATCGCCAATGACTGGTGATTTAACCAATCATGCCTATATAATGAAGCCTCCATAGAAACCCAAAAGGAAAGGGTTTGGAGAGCTTCCAGGTTGGAAAACTCCTGGAGATGCAGAGTTCTGAAAGCTGGAAGCCTGAGATCAGGTTGCCAGCATGGTTTTCTCATTCTGTTCTCATGGCAGAAAGAGAGTAAGCTAGCTCCGTGGCCTTTTCTCATAATGGCACTAATCTTATTCATGAGGGCTCCACCCTCATGACCTAATTACTTCCCCAAATTCCCACCTTTACATACCCCATCAGAGGAGGTTAGGATTTTAACATATAAATTGAGGGAGCGAGACACAGGCATGTGTCCATAGCAACATACTTTTAATTAATTGATTTTTTTCTATTCATAGAATAAAGGTTTTGTGAATTACTATGGACCACAGAGATTTGGGATAGGAAGGAGAGTTCACACAGATCAAATTGGATTGGCTTTGCTGAAAGGTGAAATGGTATGGATTTTTTAAAAATATGACCTTGTCTGTTTTCTCAGTTGTACTTACCACATAAGCCAGCTTCCTTATTTTCTTAACTTAGCATATAAACACATGTGTACACACATACATGTACTATAGCTACATCATTGAACATTTATTGAGCAGCTACTATATTCTTGGTATTACATTATAAGAAAGCAAACTGTGATGTCCCTCTGTTTAATACTTGTTTGTGACTTAACAGAGAACTGACAAACACTCACTAAATTTTTAGTGAACTAAATAGAGGATTTAGAGGAAACATACCCTACAGTTCCAGAAATCTGGTATCAGATTATATAAAAGATAGGAATTAATCCAAAGGCAGAAACTAAAAGGGGAACAACACATTGAAAAAATATCTGACTAGTTTCAAATGAAACTATAACTGAATGTCACAAATAAGCCACATATGCCCAATTATTAAAATTAAATATATTTTTGAGATGTATATTTTATATATATAATTACATATTATATACATATACATTTTTGCACTGGATGAAGTGCATGTAATAGTGAAAAACTACAAAACTATAAAAATTATGTACTTGAACAAATGAAAGATTATTCATATGACAGTGTCATACTCATTTGTGTTATAATGTGTTCTCTTGAGTGGAAGGGAAAGGAACAGTAAAAGGACTTGTGAGAAGCATTGTACATGTGAACATAATCTTACACCCATGTGTGAGATAATGGTTGAGAGCTGATAATGTAGACCACATCTGCAAATTTGTAGTCAGTATTCCTACTCTAAGACACATACTTAGAAATAAAACAGTGCTGGAGACAGTGATAAAATACAGGAATTAGTAGATACCATTTTTTTTTTTTCTAAAGGAACTTCATCTATTTAGGTTTTAAAAGGAAATTTTAAAGTTGGCAATTTTTAAAAAAGATTTTGGCAATTATTTTTTAAGACCAAAGAATTCTGAGACTTGAGAGCATGAATGAAAACAAGCATAAAGGAGTGGCTTGCCATTCCTTTATGCTTGTTTCCTCTCCTATTTTTGTTGTGTATGTTGGTCAAGTTTGAGTTTTATGTCATTACTTCACACTAGTATTATTGATGATAGAGATAAAGAATGACAGAACTGTAGAATTAATGGAGGAGCACTTTTTCCAGTCCATAATATTTTAAACCTATGTATAAGCTTGCTTTATATAGAAGTTTATTTCAAATTTTAACACTGTTTGACTTTGAAAGCTTAAAGATAAAATTACAGCATAAAATAATATTTGTTTAATGCGTATTCTTTTAAGATTAATGTTTTTTAAAAAGGAGGTAATTCATCATTTTCATTTAACATGTTTGTGTGCTTGATTTAAAGGTAAAGGCTGTAACATTATTTCTTACACCAGAAGATTTGGATGATCCTGTAAATAGAGCAAAGAAATATTTTCTTCAAACTGGTATTTAAAAGTTCCTTTACCCTATACCTAACCATGCAGATACATAACAAATGTTAATGTCAACAGGAGGGCGTTTATTGCAACATAAATATGATAAGAAATAGATTATAATATATTGTACATTTAATCATTTATTACATGCTCTAGGTACCATTTTTGGCCAGATCTTAAGGACTTTTGTCTAACTCTTGCTTGGGGGTACATAGAGGTGAGAGGAGACATGGTGTCTTAGTTTTTTTCAGCCTAAATCTTCTGAGGGGATAGGAGTTCCCAATTCTAAACTGGTACTGATGGAAGTATGATTCACTACAACTAGAGGAGATGGAAGAATAAACTAAAGAAAAGTACACTTGTTATATCTGATGGGTGTGTGTGTGTGTGTGTGTGTGTGTGTGTGTGTGTGTTGGTCTCGTTGCCATTCAGCCCTGACTGCTGATTTTGAAAACTTTAGCTCAATGTGATAACATATTTGTAGAATGCTTAATGGGAAGCACTAAAGAAAAGTGGTTATGCAGTGGATTCTAGAGTTGATTCTAGAGTTGATCTACATGGGTGTAGCTCTCAGCTTTAGTACTTCCTTACCGTATAGTCTTGTGCAAGTGATTTAGCCTCGTTGTTTTAGTTTCTTTGCCTGTAAATTCAAGCTAATAATGGTACCTAAAAAACTCTTAGGAGATATAAATAAGATAATAGATGTAATGCTCTTGAAATAGTGACTGACACATACTAAATACTGTACAAATATTACTTGTGTTTAAATAATAATAACAGCAACCATAAAAACAGCATTTTAGAGTCATTCAAATATATGATCTACATATATATGCATACTGAATTTCACTTACATTGAAATAAAGAACATCAGTTTTCAAAAATCTCCATTAATTTTTTAAATTATGCACATATATATGTAATTGTTCATAGAAGAGAAATATTTTTTTTGCCATACCACGACCTGTAAATAGTGTGGAAATTTCAAATAGTTATGTAAGTAATACTAAAGAAAATTCAAGGTGAATTTTGTATATATTGTAGAGTCCCAAGAAGATAATTTCCTTATGGCAATAATTCTTAAATTTTAGTGTGCATAAGAAACCTGATACAGTTATTAAAATGCTGATTTCTAGACTTGCCTGAATTAGCACCTTTACAGTATAGTCCAGTAATCTAATTTTAAAGAGCATCCCACTAGCAAGACCTAATAGTGTACTTGAAGGATCGACATATATACTCTTATTCAAAAAATTCTGTGTAAATATCCATAATAGCTCTTTAAAAATCTCTAGGCTCAGAGGTTTATAAGCCCTCTAAATGACTGCAAATTAGTTTATCTACATTTTGAAGTAAGAATTACTAATGCGCTTTTTGCCATTATTTTTTAGAGCATGGAAAGTGAAAATGGACCATATAATTAATGATCTTTATTGAAAAAAACAAGTTCTTTAAGTGTAGCTAGGTTTATAGTTGGTGCTGAGCATCATCTTCATATTCAGGTGTAAAAGATAGCACAGTTCATTGCCTTTCATATTTGGAGATCATACTATGGGTCTTTATAACTGGCCTTTCAATAAAAGTAGTTGATTAACTGATTTTCTCTATATTTCAGAGGATGCTAAAGGCACACTTTCATTGATGCCTGAATTCAAAGTTCGAGAAAGAGCATTGTTGGAGTCATTGCATCGCTTTGGCATGACAGAAGAGGGTTGTGTCCAGGCATGGTTCGCATTTCCCCATTCTATGCGCATTTTCTATGTTCATGCATATAGCAGCAAAATTTGGAATGAGGCAGTATCTTATAGACTTGCAACCTATGGACCAAGAGTGGTGGAGGGTGATTTGGTCTGTTTGGATGAAGATGGTGATGATGAGCATTTCCTAAATAGTAAAGTAAGTATTATTTCATCATAGTTTTCCAAGAATAGTTACCACAGCAGTAACACTAATTTTCAGAAGCCTTTATGTGAGAAACAATTTAAAACTAAACATGCATTTTATTTCTTTTTTAACTCCTGCTTCTACTCTGCTGTTGGCCAAGGCTTATATACATTCTATAAATGGGAAAATAAAATAGTCAGTGGTATGAGAGAAAGATACAAAGATTGTAGACCTTTCTTTAAAGAATACATTCTTTAAAATATTACACAAATAATATACAGAATACTTTCCTTAAAAATAAAAATCAAAGCCTTACAGGTGAAGCTGTCCTCCCTGCCACCACTCCTGTAAATCCCTCCCCTGCCTCCAGAAAATCAACCTCTGTTTTTTGGGGGCATGTTTCCTTTTAGATCTTTTTCTGCACTCACATATAAATATTCACAGAAAGGTGGATTTTTATTCTGTTGACACTGAGAAAAGAAAAGGTAGGACTTAGAGGCTGAAAGCTTAAAATATGAAAAGAAAAAGATTTTTATAATAATGGTATATGGGACATGTATGCATTCCTTTTATATAAGTGTGATTTCACAACTTGCTTTTTTCCTCTTAACAATATCTTAGAGACATTTATATTCATTTCAAGTAATGAAACCCACCTCAAACTAACTTAAGGAAAAGCAGACCGGAATTTATTGGCCCCCATAACTGAAAGTCCATGACTGAGTCAGGTCCAGCTGTGTCCAGGGACTTAAGCAGCATCTTAAGTCATCCATCTCAGTCTGGCTTATTCCTTTCGTGGCAACATGGTAATTAGCAATTATAGGTTTATTTATCACAGCTTTTTTAGAAAAAGAGAGCTTTTCTTTCCTAACAGTTTCAACAAAAGCCATGAAATTGAGTCTCAGTCACTAGGAATAGGTTGGCTTGGGTCACATATCCCCAAACGAATCATCGTGGACTGGAGTATGCTAGTGGTTAAGCCTGTGTTTCAAGGCTTATGGTTCCTTCCTGGAACCATCCCACCCAAACCACATTTGGAACTGGGAGGGAAGCTCCCTGGAAAATGCTGCTACCAAAAAAGGGGGGATAAGGGCTGGCTGAGCAAGCCAGGACAACAGACATTTGCTTTACTATTTCATTAAACGGATGGTTTATAAATATTTAGATAAGAAAGTAATTAATTACTAGGAGCATAAATCACTAAGAATGGTCATTTAACTGAGACACAGACTCTGAAATTGTGTGAAAGGAAAACTAGCCGCATCTTAGGTTTTATTTTACCTCATGTGAATGGAAGAAGAGATATATCAATGGTCTCCTTTTAATAAATAATGAAAAAATCATAAATTTTTAAACGTCTTCCAGAAAACATGTTCGTTTAGTGATTACCTGGGTAATACATTATTTAGTAAATCAGCCATTTCTAATTCAGATTTTTGGGAGTTAAAGGTTACTTTGACAAGACATAGCAATAATCTCTGAAAATACATGAGTCTTATAAGATTTCTTTGTTTAAAGTAACATTTGCAAGGTAAGTTTTGTGATCAGAATTGTATCTGCTTTTCTTTATGGAGTTCTAGAAGAAAACATTTTCTCCTTCAGTTCCTAAAGAGTTTCCTTTTAGTAGCAGCAAAAAAATATCTTTATATATATAGTAAGACCAGTCATTTATACTTTATAAACACTGAGAAAAGGAAAGACAGGATTTAGAGTCTTAAAACTTAAATATGAAAAGGAAAAAAGACAATAAGAATTCTAATAAATGGTATATAAGGCATGTAACTATAGGAAACTAATCTGATTTTCTTTTTTGATAGGATTTCTAGGCCAACAGGTATATCTTTATTTCAAGTCACTTGGTAGATTCTCTTGTAATTTTTTTTGTGAGCAAGATAGACAAATGTGAGTTAGACAATTAAATAGTTAGGAGAATTAATATTTGAGAAGCGGCCATACAGCAAAATCATGTTTGATAATTAATTGATATTAAATTGGAGGGAGTTCTCTACAGACTTCTGTACTTGACCATGTTTATTCAGTATTTTCATAAATTACTTAAATTACAGTATCATAGATAAGCTTATGAATTTGTGAAAGACAAAAACTGGAACTGATGATCCAAGAGAGATTATAGTCCTATGTATTTTGGTCAGATCATACTTTGAGTTTTATATCTATTTCTGAGTGTAGCAGTTAAAACAGGTTATTTACCTATAAACAAACCTGAAGTGAAAAATAAGAAAAGAAGGGACATTATTGATTTAAGTAGGGAGAATCTAAAGGAGAGCAAGCTGATTTAGAGGCAATCTAGATATTGTATTAAATGATGAATGCTTTAGGAAGATAGGAATGCTGTCAATATTTGTGGAATAATGATAGCTGCCTTTATACATGAGCTTTCATGGGCAAGAGAAACCAGAATTATTTTGTGATGTTCTTACAGAAACATTTTTCAACCTTAATTTATCACTCACTTATTTTTGTTTCCTTCCTACATGTGATACCTATTAATATTCTGTGAAACAGGTTTTAGAAATACAACTTCTTATAGAGTATGATATTTGTTGGGGACAGAGGTAGGGGGGTGGTTTCACAGAGCAGGTGTTTGATTCAGCATAATAAAGAACAACTTTGTAATTTAGAAAAAGATTGTTGGTGACTGAGGTGCAAGTGTCACCTTAGAGTGTTAAACTGCCCACCATAATCCATGTGTTTCAATTTCAGTTATCAGTGGTTAAGGCAGGAAGAATGATTCTAATTTTTAGATAGGCTACTCCTCCAGAAACAAATTATGAAAAGATCTTGTTTGGGTATATGTATATTCAGAAGAGTCAATTATACATAACAGAATTCGGGAAAATTGAGAGAATTTGGAACATTTGGGAGTCATCCATATTTTCATCATGTTTTTTAAAAAATAGGTTCATCTAGTAACTGAAGAAGAGGAATCGGCTAATACATATGCAATACATCAGGTAAATTTGCTTAAAAATTTGTATCACTGAGATCTAAATAGACATTATCTCCAAGAGACAAAATGTAACCAGTCTCCCCTGTCCTTTTTTTTTACCACTTTTAAATTTAAGTATTTACACACACACACATACATACACAAAAAAATTCACTCTTTAGTTTATATTGCAGGTTTTGATAAATGTATAAAGTCATATGACCACCACAAAAATTACGGTAAAGAACAATTTCATCTCTCCTCAAAATTTTCTTTTGTTGCTTTGTAGTCAACCCCCACCTGTATCCCCAGCCCCTGGCAATGACCCATCTAATATCTATCCCTATGGTTTTGCCTTTGAAAGAATGACATATAAATGGAATCATAATATATGGCCTTTGTGGTCTGACTTCTTTCAATTAACATAATTAATTTGAAATTCATTCATGTTGTGTGTATTTGAGTTTTTTACCTTGTTCGTTTTTGGGCTACTTTCGGTACTGTTCAAAAAGATGTATAGAAGTAATCAGCAAAGGTGGAAAACCCCACAAAATGCAGTGTTTACTCATATGCAGCTGAGAAAAAAGATATTTTGCTGCCTCTTGTTTGCTTTCAAGTTTTTAAATAAGAAGAATGTAAAATTCTCAACCAAAATACCAGTTATGTGATTGAGCAGTAGGGGTTATTCTTTGTGTTACAGAAAGAATATGCTTTTAGGATTGTATGACTGCATAGAAGTTTGGTCTCTGTTGGTTAATAAATAAACCTAAACTTCTTGTTCTATCTCTTCTTTATTAGAAGTAGTATATCTAATAATATATGATTTGAGTTGGTTACTTAGTTATTATGAATCCTTCCTGATTTTAGTTAGCTCTTTGCCTGGAAGCATTAAAAATAATCAAAATAGTATAATATTCAATGGTACATTTTAGGCTGATTGTATGTTTATATCCTGAGGCTGTTTTTACAGATTCAGGTCCCAGTCATAAAAATAAGTTGAAAATATGATCATATACTTTTCTGAAGGCTTTTTCATGTATCTTTTATTCCCCTTCCCTTCCACAGGTGGTTCTCCCAGTGCTTGGATATAATATTCAGTACCCAAAGAACAAAGTAGGGTTGTGGTACCAGGAAGTACTTCACAGAGATGGACTGCAGACATGTAGGTTTAGAGTACCTACTCTGAAACTGAATGTTCCAGGATGCTATAGAAAGATTTTGAAACAACCCCATAATCTCTCATACCAACTAATAGAAGAGAATGATATTGATGTCAGAGCAGAGGGTTCCCACATCGATGAAGCACCTTTATCTCTTTTGATCTCTTTTGATCTTGATGCTTCGTGTTATGCTACAGTTTGTCTGAGGGAAATAATGAAGCATGACTTTTAAAACTGGTACCCTTTATATAATTGTATATATGTCACTCTTTAAAAGGAGCTAAAATTTCTTAAGCATCTGCCATGTGTTAGGAGATTTATAATTGTTACCTCCGTTAATTATACAATAGCCTGATGAAGTAGGAATTTGATACTAACATTCCAGAGGACATGAAACTAGTAAGTGGCAGGGTCTGAATTTAAGACTCCGAAGCCTGAGTTTTTTTTATAATCTAATGTCTCAATGACCTTTATTCTGTGCTATAAAAGCTGCAATCTTTCTGGACTATTAGGAGCATATAATACTATAAACATTTAAGAAAAAATGTTTTGGAATACTGTTTACATCCTGTAGCTCCTTGCTTAGAATGTAGATGAAGCTAGGTTGTAATGAAAGAATATGTTTGTAGAGATAGATGAAGCATTTTGTTAATCATTATTGTTATTCTTTCCTATTTTTCAAATTATTCATCAAAACAATATATCAGAGAAATGTAATCCCTCTATTTATGAGAACTACCCTGGGGTAGTTTAGTCTTGTGAGATAAATAATCTTTGATGAAGATTGAAATAAAATTTTTTATACAGTTTCTTTATCTTATATGTTGACCCTCTTTTTGTTATTTTTTTTTTCTATTATCCAAAACACTGATTTTTCAGTCAGAAAGATCTGGGCTCAGACTCCAACTCTAACACTTACTAATGACTTTGGGTATGTTATTGATTCTTTTTGAGGCTCATTTAAAGTATTAAGACTGTGCCAATCACATAAGCATCAAACAATAGGATTATCTCCGCCTTTTGTGTTGCTAGAAGAAGAAAACATTTTGCCCATTTGGAAATTTAAATATTTGTTGATTTAACTATTCCACATCATAAATCATCCTTAACCATTTTATATTAGTTAAATTTGGGAGGAAATGGGATATACTGATTGGGAAGATCTGAGCATTCTTTCATTGCTGGTAGTATTATGTAATGATGAAATTTAAACAGCAGTATAGAGCATTATATATCAGTTATGTGGCACTTTTATATACTTTAAGTCAGTAAAACCATTGGGCATATTAGCATAAGAAAATAAAATTCAAAAGAAGGAAAAGAAGCTATATGCAATGCAAAATTTGCTTATTGCAGCATTTTTATATATAATGAAAGAAATTAGAAATAGTTTGAAGGTCCAGCATTAGATAATGAAAGTAAGCACAATGAGATATTACCGACTTGATAGCAAAACATGTTAATTATTAAAAATGATAAGGTTTTAGGTATATGAGAGAACATTGCCCCTGAAAAACAGAATATATTACAAAAGCAGTATATACACTAAATGCAGCTTTTTCAAATGAGGGCACTTTAGCAGAGTGATTAAAAGCATAGATAATGGGGACAAACTCCCCCATTTTGAACTTTGGCTTTGCCACTTATATCAGTGTGGCATTTGGCAAGTTATTTAACTTTATGTGCTTCAGTTTCAACATCTATAAAATGGGGATGCTAATATTCCTTAGGATTATTATGATGATTTGCTGAGTTAATATATGTAAAACACCTTAGAAAAGTGCCTGGCACTTAGTTATTGTTAAATGAATGTCCACAGATGCAAGTTTGGAAGGGAACCAAAAATGAAAATGCCATTCTGTTAAGATGATAGAGTATTTGGATTTTTTTTTTTTAATACTAAAAGGTTTCTTCTGTGTCATTATATACTTTAATAATAAGTTAGGACAGTTTCTTCTGCGTCATTATATATTTTAATAATAAGTTAGGACACAAAAAGTGAAGATTGCAGTACCATGGATTTTTAAAATTACCTTAATGTCTTAAAGTTTATTGAAAATAAAATGATGCTATATTAAGTAATAAAACATTTTTTAAAATGTTTTATTTCACTTTATATAATAAATTATATTCAGAAAAGGAATTATATAAATTATTAAATCTTAATTTTCTTTTAAATGTTTAGTAGCAATTAGAAAATGTGAATGAATTATGTGCTATCATTGATATTATTTTATTTGCCTGTAGATGGCACTGTAATTTTAGGTATCTTTCTTATTTATTTATTTATTTATTTATTTATTTATGTATTTATTTATTTATTACTTTGGACACGTGTAAATAAAGGATCACTGAATTTATTTCAGGCCACCTGTAAAATGTATTCAGATACTGTACACGTGGAGAATTATTTTGTAGACCAATAACGTTTGCCATGTTCTTTTTTTTTTTCAGTTTAAGGAATTTAATATACTCTGGACCAAAAGATGACCAGTTGCCTAGGTTTTTGTTGTTTTTCTGGGGCATTTCAGGCTTTCGGGAGGATACTCTTTGGATGAGTTTTAATTTTAAGGTTGCATTTGAAACTGAGCAATAGTGCCTCAGGATTACAAAGGTAAAACAAATGAAGGTCTTTTTATTAAGATAAAACCACTTGGATTTTTGTGAGTTATAGTAAGCTGAAAGTCATATAACTTTTGATCCAAATAACATTTATTGTGTGTCTGTTGTGCCAGGCATTTCTACTTCTCTCATTTTAATTCATGTACCCACCCTGTAGGTAGATAGTGTTTTCCCTGTTTTTACAGATGAGAAAATAACTGAGTGCTTTACTGACCTATTCTGGATCAAACAAGATAGTACGTGGTTGAGTCGATTATGCTTTTTAGATCAGTACTGTTCATCAACCTAATATTTGCCTCTGAAAAAAAGTCTTTTGGTTAATAACTTCCATTTCTACCAGATTGATATTACTTGCCATTGATTAATAGGTATATTGGAGCATGTCTTGAGGGAAACAAGATTCCTTTTGAGATTCTGAGACCAAAATAAAAGTAAAGGAGATGCTTTAGGAAATTCCCAAATCATTTTGGGGTATTTTCCAGAATATTTTAAGCCTTGTATCACAGTCACAGGCAAAATCATTACAGGCTATAGGAGGTTATTTCAGATTGTACCTGGCACAATATTAAATATTATTGAAAAAGTACACTAAGAGAGTTGCTCCTGGTTCATTCCTTTAATCAACCATTCTGTTTAAGACAGAGAGCTGATTCATACTAGTTTTCATATATCATTAACACTTGCTGATTTACCTTTTGAACAGAGACAGTGCAGATCTTAGGCTCAGGAATACCAGCAGGCAACAATATCTAACCAGAATTTAATAAGATTTCTTTTATTGAATTTATTTTTCCAGTTACCTTTTTTATTTATGGCAAATAATCCTGGTTTTCAACTTATGTAGTGTTTCTTTTGAAAAACATTTAATTTTAAAAAGATGGAATCAATTTAAAGGTATTAAGGAAATACTAGTGTAGGTAAGAAGATTGAAGTTTGGGAAATACTGGCATAGCTACCCGTACCTGAACTCAGGAGCTCTACCACTGACTGCATTAGTGTGCGGTTTTAGTAACCCACTGAATTTCTCTGTTTTGGTGAGCTCAGGTTCGAAGTAATGTTAGTAATCATTTTTTCAGTCCAAGACAGTATTGCATCAAACAAAATAATGAGAAATATACAAATTCAAGATAGGACGAACACAGATACTGATGATCACATGCCATACCTTAAAATTTCACTGAAAGGGACTTTATTTCAGAAAATCTTATGAAACACTAAAAACAGTGTCTCGCACCTAGTAAATTCTCAATGAATGTCAGCTAGTGTTATTATGGTTAATATGTTACTGTGCTTTCTGATGAAAAGTTTTACAATTGAATAGTTAACTTTCCCTTGAGATGTGATCTTATTGTCTTAACATAAAACAATAATTCAGCACTTTTAGATTTGTTTATTTATTTTTGGTAAGTGGAAATAACTATTTTCTAAATCTGGGACTTAAGTAGTTCATTCAAATTAAGATCTTTCAGACCCATCTGGATCAGTGTTCCTCAGTATTTTCCACTTGGGAACTACCAGTAAGAGCCCACAAAGAAAGTGAAGCCCTGTCCAACAATGCAGAGTTTTCTTGCATTAATGTAAGGATAATAAAAAGTTGGAGGAAGATATGAGGAGTAAGGTAAAAAATAGGACTTACATTTTTTTCTCTATTTACTTCTGAAATGTTTGGATTTTAAAACAAAAATTCATTTGTGAATTAATTTTGTAATTGAAAACCTTGAAGAATACTTAAGGTTCAGAGAGGGTAAGGTAAAGCAATTGATGGATTACAATTGTATTTTTTTTTTCAGAATAGTTCTGGTTGCTCATATCAACATATTGCCAGAGAGAGAAATTTATGCATTGTACTTTTAATAGCATTCATGGCAGTTGATATAAATAGTTTCATGCCTATGTTATGGATTTTGCTTTCAGATGCGGAAATATTCTGTCTTAGAGACAGCTTGATGTCTTACGGTACTGTTTTAATCAGTTTTTTTTAAGTCCTTCTGCCTTACATATTTTTGATGGGCCACAAAACAATGTCGAATATATGACATAATAATCAATAAATATTTGAGTGTCCCTAAGTTAAAGGCACTCTATAAGATGCTATTGGGAAAAACAAAAATAAATCAGGTAATATCCTTGCCTTTGAGGAATTACAGCGTTATATCCTTTAAGCTATTATTTGATTTGAAATGCAATCTGCATAAAAGAGTATGCAGACTAAATGGAAAGAGAAAAACAAGCAGAGTCTTTCCATTTCTTTATGGCTCACTATATGACCAATAATGTTACTTGACCTCTCAGCACCTCATTCTGAATCCTTAAATGATACTTGTATTAGCATTTCTAAGCATTTGAGATCTCCTCTTAAAATATGCTAAAAGTATGCTTTGAACTATTCAGTCTAAATGCTGCTTTCTAGAAAGCTAGTAGTTTAAAAGAATGGGAAACAGTGTTAATGGAGTTAATCTTGTATAATTTCAGTGTGGGTTGTCAGGAATACCTTTAAGTAAAGAAAATGACTCTAATCTTCTTAAGCAAATCATTCTTAGCAACTGTGAGGCAGGAGCTAATTTACTCTGACTATGTACATAAACCTTGTCTTTGTAAAGAAAAATTTTAGTCATGGAAAGAAATCAGGATACCCATGAAATTATTTAAATTTAAACATATTGGGAAATATTACAAAATATAAGATTTATTAAATTGTCTTTGCCGTTACCAGTTTCCTTAATAAATATCAATTACCAATGTAGAAGTAAAATCCCTCTTACAGGAGGAAATTTAATCATGGGGTCAAAACAAGAGCTATTGGATTGTTTTTAAAGAGTAAAGAGGTCAAAGAGCTGGTCACTCCTTAACTGAGGGTATTTGAGCAGCAGGGTGGGTTGGGGAGTGGAGAAGGTTAGGGACTCAATTCTTTATGCTTTTATTCCAAGTCACTCTTTTCCGATAAGCCTTACTGGCATTTTCTTAGACTGGTTAAGTCAAGATTCTGAAATTTTTCAGAATTGGTTTTTAATCTTTGCCGATTGTTGTTTCTACTCCCACCCCGGTCATAAAGGACAGTGTGCTTTTCTAAAAAGGGAACAGGAAGACTCTTTCTATGAATAATCTTTATAATTTTTATAATAAAATGGATTTCGTTTTGCATATGATTTCCAAAAGGAACTAATTTAGGTTGTATTTTTCCATTAAATATCTTAAAGG